GAGCTCCGAGCTTAGTAAAGAAGGAGCAGAGGTAGACCGGAGGGATCGGAGGGGCCGGAAGTCGATGGCCAGGAATGGATATGACAAGGATGGCATTATAGCCTTTGGACTCTGGGAGCTCTCCCACCATATCTACTGAGATCACTTGCCAGCGACGGGTGGGGACCTTGTTTGGGGTGAGCTTCCCAACTTTTCGTGAGGGGAAAGATTTGACGCGGTTGCAGGTGTCACACCCATGTATGTACCACCTGACATACTCTGCCATCCGGGGCCACCAGTAGTCACGGGAGACAAGTTCCAGGGTTTTCCACTGCCCTGGGTGTCCCGTCGCCCGTGCATCGTGGTGTAGCCACACAAGATCATGGAGGAGTTGGGGGTCTTTAGGGACGTACACCCTCCCCCGGTATAGAACTAGTTCACCCTGCCTCTCCCATTCGTCCGACCTTAGCGTCCCTTCTCCCAGCTCTCACATTGCCTTTACCACTTTCTCATCGTGGTCTTTTGCTTTGCATATCCGCTCTAGAATTCCTGCCTCTTCTCCTTCTACCGAGATTCCCTCTGTTGCACAAGCCTCAAACCAGGCTGGTTGGAGGAGGGTTAGCCCTTCGTTGTCGTCCTTCCCTTTCAGGTGGTCAGCACGACGGGAGAGTGCATCCGGTTTTCCCATGAGCTTCCCAGGACGGTGGACAAGGGTAAAGTGGAAACGAGAGAGGAAGAGGGACCACCTAGCCTGGCATCGATTCAGCCTCTGGGCCATCCGGAAGTACCCCAGGTTACGGTGGTCGGTATAGACCTCGACTTTCTCCTCAGCACCTTCTAGGAAGTGTCGCCACTCTTCGAGAGCTCGGACGATCGCAAGCATCTCCTTGTCGTACACCTCGTAGTTACGCTCCACGTCCGTGAAACTCTTGGACATGAACGCCACCGGGTGGAACTCCCCATCGGGTTGGAGCTGGGAGAGGACTGCACCGGTTGCGAAATTGGAGGCGTCACACTCGAGCCTGAAGCGGCCCGAGTCAGTGGGGAAGGAGAGGACTGGGGCGGTGGTGACAGCTTCCTTAAGGGTGCGGAAGGCATTGTCTTCGTCCGTGCCCCAGTTCCAAGCCTGGGTCTTCCGGGTCAGCTTGTGGAGTGGGCATGCCTTTTCAGAGAAGTCCTTGATGAACCGGTGGTAGAAATTTACGAACCCCAGGAAGGACTGCACCTCCTTCACCTTGGTTGGGGTGGGCCAGTCAAGGACTCCACGGATCTTTATGGGGTCCATCGCAACGCTACCCTCTGAGATGACGAGGCCGAGGTACTCGATCCGGGTCCACTCGAATTTGCACTTCTCCGGCTTCAGGAACAGCCTCCTCTTTCATAGCATTTCCAGGACCTCCCGGACGACCTTCCGGTGCTCCTCTAAGGTAGCTGTGAAGATAAGGATATTGTCCATGTAGCAAATGATGACCTCCCGGTCGATGAAGTCCCTGAGGATATCGTTCATCATCGTTTGGAAGGTCGCAGGGGAGTTACACAGCCTGAAGAACATTACCATGGGCTCGAACAGCCCTCGGTTGGTTGCGAACGCTGCCTTCCACTTGTCCCCATCCTTGATCCGGACGTTGTTGAACCCCCAGCGTAGGTCCAGGGCGGAGAAGTACTTGGCACTCCAGAGGTGGGCGAGGACGTCTGAGATCAGCGGGAGTGGGTACGAGTTCTTTATGGTAATCTCGTTCAGCTTCCGGTAGTCCTGTACTAGGCGTAGTGACCCGTCTTTCTTTTTGACAAAGAAGACTGGTGCCCCCATTGGGGACTTGGACGGTCATATGCACCTGTTCTGCAAGTTCTCATGCAGGAACTCGTCCAGCTCTTTCTGTTCCGGCCACGAGAGGGGGAAGGTCTTTCCCCTGGGCAGCTTGGCATCTGGTACCAGGTCTATAGTGTGGTCCCAGGGCTTCCGGGGGGAAGCTGGTCGAAAGCTTCCTTCGAGAATATGTCCCGGAAGTCCTGGTAGTGCTCTGGCACTAGCGTCTCAAACGATGCAGGTTCTGCGCCCGGGTTGCGGGCCTCCTGGGCCATCCGCTGAGAGGGGGTTGTGGTGGCTCCTAGGTCATGTCCCCAGCCTGGGGGGATGATTGCAGTGTAGATCCCGTCCCCAGGCTCTAGGGCAGGGTCTTGGTCCTCTCGTGCTTGTGGCTGTCTGCAGGAGGATGGGCAGCGAGACATGACGACCTTCTGCCGTGCCCAGTCTACCTCTGGGTTGTGGTGTAGCAGCCATGAGTGACCAATGATGAGGGATTGCCGCCTGAGGTTTGCGACCGCGAAGCGGGCTCGCTCTGTGTGCTGCCTGAACGTCAGGAGGGCTTCCAGCTCCTCAGTTATGGCTCCATTCTCGTTCAGGGTCCCGTTGACGTTACGGATGGGGATAGGTTGCGGGAGTGGGGTTGTCTCGAGCTTGTGCTTCCAGACGAATTCGGGGCTCACGAAGTTCCTGGTGGCTCCTGAGTCCAGGAAGGCCGATACAGACACTGACACGAGTGAGGTTAGGGTGGTCAGTTTGACCGTGAGGTTAAGGGACCTGGGGGATTGCTTGGAAAGAACGTAGATAGCGGGCGGGGATACTGCCACTTTGGGCATTCCCTCTGTGGTCCTTCTACTCTCATGGGTTGAGGATGCAGTTTTCCTCTTTTTCTTTGCGATAACTCGGTGAAGTTTTGGCATTGGCACTGACTTATGCACACTGCGGTATTTACATGAGCTATCCTCTACGGGCAGCCAGGATGCATCCCTCACCGGTCGCCTTCCTGAAAATCCCCCTGAGTCTCTGTTTCCGGCTCTGCTTCCTCTGCCTCTGGTCCTTCAGTCAACTGCCTTTTCAGCCCTTCCATCAGCGCCCGAAGGTCTTCAGGGTGGAGGCGTCGTGCCCGGTGGACCTTGGGGTGTGGGCAGTCTCGTTGGATGTGCCCCAGGGTGTTACAGTTGTAACACCGCCTCTGGTCAGTTCTTGAGCGGTCAAGATCCATTGGCTGTGGGCCCGCTCCTGTTGTGGGGTGGGCTGCTGGGGTAGGAGGTGGAGGTGCGGGTGCGGGTCGAGGGGGCGTGGGTGTGGGTCGTGTGTGAGGTGGGGTCGTGGTCGACAGGGGTCAGGTTGACGGTGTAACGGGTCTATCAATCTAGACTCATGGCTCAGGTCTAGGGGGGGTAGGTCTCTCTCTATCTCTCAGGTGGGTGTGGGTCCTGCGAGTACGGTGCTGATACTCTGTCTAACCTCTAACTAACTGTCTGTACAGTTGTCACGGAAGAGTCCGATACAAATATAAAAGGAAAGTCACATGCGTGAATGAATGAAAATAGTAAGGAAAATAAAGAAAAGGTCAAATCTCCTCAACCACTACACCAAATCCGACGATCTTGGACTCGTCAGAACCACCTCCACAGTCTCTACAACTCCTACTATTACCACGACTCACCAATCCTAGTCCCTGATGCAGTAGGGGGTGAAATGCGTGATAAGGGTTGGTTTGACCTGCACGGACTTGTCCCCACAACAACAGGAGCAGGGGTTTGGGTGGAAACGCACGTGGTTGGGTGGCTTGGAAGCGTTGCCACTGGTTGTCAAGGAGGGTGGCCTCGCGTTTCCACTCTGCCCAAGTAGTGGGCATGGGGCGGAGCCGGTATATGCTCTCCTGGAGGCGGGAGTTGATGGCCTGCTCGAAACGGTCAACCAGTCCCACATCGCCCAGCCTCGAGGCAGGTGCTAGTATCTCGAACTCTTGGATAACCTTGTCCACAGAGTCGCTTCCCTGTCGGATGGCTGCCAGCTTCTGTCTGGCTGTGGCCTCCCGGTTCGGGTCCTGGAACATGGCATCGAGTTCAGTGTTGAACTCGTCCATGGTGAGGGAGGGGGATCTGGCTGTCAGCAACGTGATCGTGCGTTGTGTTGCCCATGCCCCTGCGGGTCCTCCTTTCATGTAGGACAGCACGAAAAGAATTTGGGAGAGGGCGGTGGGGAATTCAGCTGCGCAAACATGGAAGTAAATCCCGCACTCGGCCTTGAAGCGGTCGAGGTCCTTGCTGGCTCCTGAGAAGGGAGTGAGGGGGCGACCTTGGGTGGTTTGGGTCTGGGCGCGGGAGCGGGTGCAGGGGCTGGTGCGGGTGTGGGTGCTGGAGCAGGTGGGGGTGGGGGATGGTTGCAGGCCTGGCTCTCCACAATGGCTTGGAGCTCTTGGAAGCGAGCTAGCAGCTCCTCATACTGCTCTTCTGACACCATGGCTGGGGAGGCAGGGGAGATAGGGGAGGCAGGGGAGATAGGGGAGGCAGGGGAGACGAGGTTGAAACCTTCTTCTGCTGTCAGGGATGCATCTGGGGTGGAGGGGGCCCGGCTGTAGCGCCCGGCAGAGGGACCCTCTCGGGGGATGAAGCGGGCGCGTGTACTGACAGGCCCAATCTGGGACTGTAGTCCCTGGCCACTTAGACTGAAGTGGAAAACGTGAATTGTTATTAAAAGGAAGAACTACACTACTTACCTGAAGTGGAAAATGTGAGAAGAAGGTTACTTCTTCAGTTCCCACTTCAGGTACATTTATGTACATGCGGCTTGGGTCACATGACGAGTGCCATATCATCTACGGAGAGAGCTGCAGCCATCCGGGTATCCCCACGGGGGATCCCGAGGGCATCTGCTGCAGGTGTGCGTGCTGGGTGTAGCGGGAAGTTGTCTGGGGTGTCCGAGCCGGACAGGTCAACAGTACAATGATACAAGGGAAGGTGGTCCATGTAAATAGAAAGAATAAACAGAAAGGGAGAATGAAATAAAGGAGAAAGAGAAAAGAGGGAAAAGAAAGGGAGGAAGGGGAAGAGGGAGGAAGGAGGGAGGAGGAAGGATGGGTAGCGGGGAGCGGGTGAGCGGGTGAGCGGGTGAGCGGGTGAGCGGGTGAGCGGGTGAGGTGGGCCCGGGTGGGCCCAGGTGGAACTGGGTCAGGTGGGTGTGCCCTGACAGTCCACCACAGCTTGTTGGCATGTCAAATTCATTAAGGATGAATGGTAAGTAAATGTCAAATCTCCATAACCAAATTGGTGCTTACTGGGTTTGGTGTTTAGACGTATCCAAACCAGCACCATCCCCACCAAACCAGGTGCTGCAACATGAGATCTTTTGTGTTGATTCTGAAGGGCCTGAGGCCTTTGGGATCACTTACATGGTCAACATCGGCGGCAAGTACAAATCTTGCAGAATGCCAAGTACCGAGGAATATAGAGAGTGGCACACAGCAATCGTTGAAGTCTCAGGTTTCTCAGAGATGCATACTTTCAAGCATGAATTTGCATGGAAAATGTACTCAGCACCAAAGAATCAGGACCCAGTGGCAGTTGACAACAAAACTGATTATGAGATGATGATCAGTGATGTGACCGAAAAAGTGAAGGGGAAGAAGGAACCGTCTGTCACAATTCTTATCAGTAATTTGGTATGTTAATTGGATTGTGAAGTTTCTGGGCCGATCAACATTAACTGTATCTTTTGTTCAACAGCCTCTCTGAAAGATGAAATACCCCATGGCAAGCAGAAGTCGAAGAAGGCAAAACTTGAGTCATATAAGCCAGACTTGTCATCCCCTTCAAATTCTGATAATGATTCCGAACCCAAGCAATGCAAAATCCCCAAACTACCAGTCCGTGATATTGAAGAGAAGCTAAGGCAGATGAATGATTTCTGCGAATCACATAAGTCGCACTGTTGTGTATTATCAACCCCTGGCTATGTGGGCAATCACGTTATCTTGAACAAGTCTGCCATTAAGCGCTGGGCCCAGTCAGTTGTATGCGCATTTCCTTCCATGACTAATGATCCTTTGCTAACTTGTGTCAGGATAATGGCATTGCCTCATTTGAAGAACCGCCAATGTATCTTGTCAGAGAAAGTGTTGCTGGTGCTGAAGTCCCCCCTCCACCTGGTGGAAAGAAGAATGATGGCAAGACAAAATCCACTTCTCAGCCAGCTCTACCACCCCAAACTTTGCCATTGTCAGGGACAGCTCTGAAAGCAGCGAGGTCCTGGCGTGAGGGACTTGATGGGACAGATGTCAGCTATGTGTAGTGGCGGTCCCATTGCAGGGTGAGCGTCCCTGACCACTTAGTCTGAAGTGGGAAGTTGAGAAGAACGCTGCTTCTTCTGTTCCCACCCCAGTGTCAGGGTTCAGCACCCTGCCCTAGGGTGCCCCAGACTCCCCAACCAATCCCTTCCTTCCATTCCTTCATTGTTGCCTTGTTGTTACCTTTCTGTGTTGTGTATCCGCACGCACGGGATAGCGTGGGAACTTTCTGAGCGAGCAGCTCACCCAGAATGTTCCCACGGGTCACAGCCACAGTTCTGGGCGAGCAACTCGCCCAGAACGTTCCCACGCTTACTGGGCACTGCCACCTGGATGTTCCCTCCGGGTCACACTACACAACTCTAGGAGCTGTATAGTTGTGGGCATGTGACCCATTCCTTTATATAGCAACCATGCGGGGAGATGAGACCTTTACCCTTCTTCTCATCTCATGCCCCGCATAGTGTGAGGACAGGTTAGATGGGGGATGAGGTCAGGGAGCCTCCGAGTCCGAGGCCGGGCCCTGACACCCAGGCACTATTATATACATGTGGTTGGGGTCACGTGGGAGGAGCCACGTCATCTCCACCTACAGCCGCACTTCCCTGGGTATCTCTGTGGGAGATCCCGGAGGTGTGCCGCTCTGTGAGCAGGAATGCGTGCGGCGGGTGTGGCGATCGGGGGAGCGGGGTTAGGTGTGTAGTGATACATAGAGAAGGGGAAGTCGACCGTGGAATGGAAATAGAAAGAAAGAAGGAAAGGGACAAGAAGAAACAGGAAGTGATAGCGGGGAAGCGGAGTAGGGTGGCGTGGCACGGGGTCAGGTGGGGTGTGCCCTGACAGCCATCCCCTGCGAATGGTGGACCGGAAATGGTTCTCATGCCGAATGCTCCTCTCCAAAGCGGTCCCATTCCAGTTGGTCCCTCTATGTGGCCTACAATGTACGTTGCATATCCTCCACCATATCACTATCCATACCCCTTTCCAGATCCAAGGACTGCTTTCCTCCCTCATCACTACCCATTCCCAGGTGGTTATAGTGCTGATGCCCACTCCCATACCTATGGAGATTATCACTGGCAAACAGGATTATCGCAGTTAGCTCCACAAAGCAGTGAGGACCTTACTCCACCCCCTTCAGCATTCCCCACTGTTGAGCACTGGCTAGACGAACTCGAGAATGACTCAGATTTCAATCCAGATGGACTGCTCTTCAGTCAATAGGGGGTTTCATGGTAGGCAAGATTGGTCTAAACAGGTGTCTAAACTGAAATCCTAAACTGACCCAAGATTGATTGAAACTGGTCAGTCTTGCCAGTTTAGCTGTTGAGGCTCACATGCCCCAAATGTGTCAGGGCGTGGGAAAACGTTACCGTGACTCGCCGTCAGCGACCGTTAAGGTCCGCTGCTCTGGCGTAACAGCCCGTTAAGGGTGGGGATGACAATCGCAGCAAAACGGGGTTTCGGCTTCAACGACTCATTCGTGAACGTTGCACCTCATACTTGACGCAGCCCCGATATTTCAGAGGGCAGAGGGTGCAACTGAGTCAGACAGAGAGTGCAGGGGGTAACCCTAGTTGATTTTTGAACTAAAGTACGAGGTAGTATACAACCGGTATTTAAGTGTAATGGAATGAATAGAAATAAGTCGCCAAATCTCATGGAGATTGCGGGCGGGCTTAAGAAGGAACGAAAACAAACAAAGAGTGTGGGAGAAGGATGGCCATGCATGGCTGTCAAGAAAAACAAGCATGATAAGGAATGACTCATAGGCCTGTGACAGGCTGTGGAACAGGTAGCAGTGACGGGGAAGGGTGATGGGCTTGTTCAGGCAGCGTCGGGCAGGTAGTGGAGTTGACGGGGTCGAAGCGGAGGAGGGAGAAGGTGTGGGGAGTGATCACCTGACCGTGGGAATTGCCGGGTCGTGACAAAATGGTCTAACTGACTCAAGATTCAACTCAAGACTAGCCTCTAGATTTGGATATACTGTTTTGTAAACTCTGCCAGCAGCTACTGTACAGTTCCATTTCCAATACAATTATATTTCCCCAGTTCCCGTCCTACCACATCCTTTATCTTGTCCATCAGACCCGGTCAGACATGCCACCAAGGGGCCGTAAGCATAAGAACGAGGAACTCCTGCCTGAGGACCAAAAGGCCATCATTGAATCAGTGCCTGGGATTGCCAAAACACCTGTGGCTGCGGAAGTGAAGGATGAAAAGCCGAAGGTAATCGATAATTTGTATCGGTGCTGACCAGGACTGACATAAACCAGCAAAAAGTTCCTTGGGATGAGAATCCTGAATGGACATGGCAACTTATCCATTACCTTGAAGATCATGAAGACATTCATCTAAAGCTTTTCAGTGACTCAGAAGAAAGCCACAGCCCAGAACAGGAAGAAGGCAGGTACTATGGAGTGTTGCATATGAGCTGGTACTATACTTACCTGATAACTACTAGGTTACAAATGGGAAGCCAAAGACTTACTACTATCCTATTCTTGCTGAAGCAATTTTCAACATCAAGGACGAGCCTGCCCAAGAATCATACCTTGCAAACAAGGCTCACTACAGCACATCAGTTATGGGATGCATAACAACGTAAGTGTATGTACTATACAATTCCGCCACTCTTCCCTTACAGTGTCTGTCCAGTTTGGGTTGGCTCTATAGCCACCTGAAGAAGGTTAGACACATCACTGGGACAGGAGTAAAGCATGATGAGGACAATGCAAACAATGTGCATAGTGAGTTCTGACCCCATGCTCTCATACATTTACTTCACATGGTCAAAAGAACAAATTCTGGAGGAATTCCCTTGGTTTGATGTCCTAGACTCTTGGTGGGATGGCCAACTGTCAGGGCACATACCCTGACTTAGCCCGGACCTGCTCCACTTCCCGCACACACTTCCCGCGCCACATGATCTGTGCACCGCATGCTCCGGTCCCCGGATCCTACCTTCATGTGACTTCCGGGTATCCCCGGAAGTTTTTGCCATATTGGGCCACTGTGGGAAAGTGAGAAGTTAACCTTCTTCTCACTTTCTTACCCACAGTAGGCAAGTGTATTCTACACTGCTTCTTTACCTTATACACTTTCTTACCCACAGTAGCATTGTGCCCTGAGATGGGCTGTTACAGGTCAGGCTCTGGGTTATAGAGAGAGGGGTCATGGGGACCCGGGTTTGTCCCCTGACACCAACCTAAGTACTCAGATGTGCTAGTGTCAAACTCATCAGCACCGGGTGGACAGTTGTCCGCTGCATATGTAAAACTGTTGGATGAATCTAGCAACTGTCCTGACTCTCCTCTTCCCACCACTTCCGGTGATAATGGAGGCAGCCAACTGGCTCTAGATGGTGAAAGTGGTCTTGCAGTATGTATATACATATGATCCACCTCTCTGTTTGAGATGATTCACACATTTGTAGATTGAAGAAACAAATCTTTTTACACACACTCCAACAAACTTCTCATCACCACTTAACTCTCCAGCTGTGCACACACCAACTCTCCCTCCCAAGCCGGACCCAGAACCTATTGATTTGAAACCGAAGCTAATTGAAATGCCTTCAACTGGTTAGCACACCCCAACACTTGGCCACCAATTCCGCTCTTCCATTATGTACTCCTGCACCAAAGAAAGGCAAGTGCGACATCCTTGGAGAGTTTCACACAGCAACTAAGCAGGAACAAGAGCAAACAGCAGTTGAAGCCCAGTATGGCCACCTTGAGCGGATGGCACGCTGTAGGAGAAATAACGGTCACACTATGGAAACCCATTATGGAAATATGCCAGATAAATCACAAAACCTCATACGACAAGTAGATATGAGAAAATAGAAGGACCTGAATTTTAACGAATTTTAACGAATTTTTACGAATTTTTACAAATTATTATGACTATACGCAATAAATCGAAAGAAAGAAAAATAGCAAAAATACTTCAAGCTTACCATCAACGAGACGGAATTCTCGGGGGAATTTATAGCAAATATTAAACCAAGAATTAGGACAATCGACCAAGATTTGACTATAAAAACAATCAGAGAACCTCCACGGAAACTACTTTCCCACGTCCGCACACATAGCCAAGGATGGAAGTACCACGGAACAAGGATTCCTCAGGAACTAATGCAAAATTCAAAGTCGTGTCTATAATAGGAAATGTAGATGTCCCACAAACGGACCCAATGAAAGTAATTACAGGGGAAACTACCCATAAACGACGGAGATATGACTAAAACTCCTGCAAAACAAGGACAACATCTAAAAGGCAAGCACAAAGATTAACCAGTAACGACCGAGACAAGCTTGATGGCCCATTAGAAAGGAAGGAATCTAATCTTAATCCTCCCAAATTTTCATAATAAAAGGATCATGCATTAATGAGATATCCAATAACGGGAATAGCGACATCAAAAGTCCGAGCTCAGGGAAAAGACGATGTTTGCGTAGGATCCATAATTAAAACATACAACTAAATTTACACGGAAATTATGAAAAATGGGGAACTATAGTTATGCAAATTTTCAGCCTAAATGGTCCAGCCGTTGTGAAGTTATACCCATGACAGGAATATAGAAATCCGCATCATGTGTAATGACACGTGAGGGTGGCAATGCGCAGGGAACCGGCTGTCGGAACCGAGATCCACACTTCGGCAGATCGCGAAGACCAATTTCTGTCCAAATAAGGAAGAGCCCGGTCAAAACAAAGCACAGAAAGTGCAAAACAACCTTAGATCATGAGGGAAAAATCTGAAATAAATCACAGAAGCCCATATGAAAGAAATAAACACCCACACATATCATAAATCCCGAACAATTAAACGGAAACGGCGCCCGCATACGAACAACTATGGGAACGACGCACGTGATTACCGAATGTGTGCATGAACCTTTGCTAACTCAACGAATACCAGGAAATAGGACACAACCTTAGTACCATTGGAAAGGTGGGAATAAATGAAAATTTATGATACCAAGAACGTGAGAAAACATCCAGAAATGAATGAGATACAAGGACATGAAGTTAGAAACCTGAAAACGCGCGGGAAGACAGCTTCAAGAGGTCCAGAGTCCTAAATAAAATACATAAAAATATGATATCTTCAAGGACGACCTACTATAACAACGAACAATACATATGGAGGATTAGGATGTGATAATACAAAGGGGAATCAGGGAATATGAACGAAATTCACGAAAACCACTAAACTACGACGGACCATGGCGGGAATTTTAGGGAACAATATTCTAATGAAGTGGAGAGCTATAATACATTCGTTTGAGTAATTCTTGACTACTAGCAACTTTTTCTTTCAGTTTTAAACCTGAATAATTCACTCATTTACCATTTCAGTCTCATTTTAACTAAATGTCACTAAATAAAAATGGAATAAATCAGCTGAAGGTCTCAGCACAGCCGTACGCATAGTAATGCGAAGTTTGAATTCAGAATCATCGAGTCATAGCAAATTTAATGGTATATATAGGGAATTTGAAATAGGTAACTGCGACAAATGCAGCGCAGCCAAGTTCTATTTAACCATTAAAATAGCTTAGGCGAGGGAGGACAATAAGGATTCTAGGCGCAGTCTGACCACAGTAGAACTGCAGTTCAGCACAGCAAAAGTGCAGTAGAACTATAGCGTGAAAATTTCATTTTTTATTCAGTTTGAGAAAAATACACTGTAAATAAATCCTGTAAATAGAAGGTAGAGCGTGAAAAAGGAAGGCGACCCAAGGAGTATAAAAGGGAGACCCTTTCTGCGACTTTTCGCCCCCCTTAGAGAAGTAAGAAAATAGAGTATTATTTTTCTCAAGCATTTCTGGTTGTCACTCCAGTGTGAAAAAGTGATATACAGTTAAGATTGCCACTGTAGTAAAAGGCAGCAATTAAGGAGAGAAATATTAAGTAAATATTTCAACAGGAGAGCTGGTTAACACTCCAGATTTCAAAGTGTAAACACAAAACAGTTATCTTGCTACTGTTAAAACAAGCAATAAAATAAGACAAAAATAAAACAAACCCAAGGGACACTCCAGACACAATCCAAATCCATTAACTGAATAGAATCTTTGAAACTTCACCAAGTAGAAGATTAAATTCAAGTTAAATTCCAAATTAAACAACGCTACACAGAATTACACCTAGACAAATTAAGAAATTTCAATAAAGAAACAGCTCCACAGGGCTCAGTTTATCTGTAAGTCA